TAATGAATAACCAACTACCATTTAATCGATATAATGAGATCTTTAATCATTGTTAAGAGAAACACTTGCGTGATTTCATTCAATAAAGGCGTAATAAATAACACAACGCGTACATCACACTGTTTATAAAAAAACTATTACTACTACTATTACTTGATATTATAAATAATAATAATAATAATAATAATATGTATAATTATACACGAAGTAAACAGGTCTTTCAAGTTCCGAAACGACAAAATTGTTACTTTCCTAACACCACAATCAACGCTCGTTACTATAAATGTACATATGATGAACTATAAGAACTGTGGATAAACTCTACCTTCAATTAAAACTTAAAATATGAAAAGTAAATAAAAGAATGGAAAATACATTATATACTATAATGTTTTACACATGTTGCCACGGAATATATATGAATTTGTGTGTATTTACTACACTTTTGTGTGATCGTGTGTTGTACGGCAAAATATCATAACGTGTGCCTGTTACGTAGGTAAACCGGAACGCAGTTATGCTCACATTCAAAAAATAAATAGGTTGGTTTGCATTAATATTAGACATACAGAAAAATACAAAATATTTTATTTCCAACGAGATTATGTAGGTACATTACAATTTAAATTAAGACTTAGAACTAGGAAACACAAGTCAATTGTAGCGTATAATCGCGTACATAAAATTGCATACGATTCCTGCACTAGACAAAGCCTGTCAATACGGTACTTGAAAAAATCCTTATTACTGATGAAAGAATAACACTAGGAAAGAGCTAGATAAGTGGTTGATGACTTTACCATCTCAGTTAGTTGTGACCATGGGACATAAAAGGCCTTCGGGCCTACTTCGGCATTACTTTGTTTGAAAAAAAAAACAAATATACGCGATTAAGATTCGAAAAAATAGTTCAATTTCCTAAATATTTTTAATTAAAAAAAGATGAACATCTTTTTTTACAGTATTGCATAACATAATAATTTTGAGCACCAGAACAAACAACTTTTGCTCTTCTACTTCAAAAAATCTAACAAAGTTTTTTCAACAAACAACCGCAACAAACAACTACTTATTCATTGATTTCAACGCGAAGTAATAAAAATCTGTTTCCAGAAGCCGTATAATTAAAGTAGTTTGTCCTAATTGATGCCGTATGAGGTTTCTAAAAAATAACGTTATGAATAAATCCTTACAACTCCAATTTGTAAAGTTTTATCTTGCATTTATAATTCACTAGTTAATAATTACTATATTCATAGTGTATTAATTGTTAAGCAGCATGTATCTTTAGGCTCAGTTTACTTATAGAAAGGAAATGAATTTTGTAACCATAGCATAATGAACTTTATGTCAAATTATATAACGTACCAACTATATATGAGCCAGAAAACGGCCGCGCATCTTCCGGAAAATTCTCGAACAGTCTCGGGAGTTCCCGCTGCTGCCATTTAATAATAATAATAATATAATTATTTATTCAGACAACACATTTTTCTGGTCCAATGGTGTAAACTTACAAAAATAGTTAGGTGGCAGTACTTACTTACTACCCTGGACGAACTCTTTCACAAGAAGCTCTACTGCTTACTAAAACAGAATTCAAGAATTCAGGGAGTCATCACACCGTAGCGACACGGATTCACATTAATCTGGTAAGAAAAATATTTTGTTTTTTGTTTCTTTATTTTTTTTTAAATTAATTATTAAAATAACAGAAAATGACCAAAAACATATAGTTGGCGTAGTAATCATTGGAGGTATCGATGTAATATATCCCTCTACATATATAAGTACATCATACAAAGGAAGTCATACTATTGCAATTTCATCATCTCCACAAATCACTACGACTTTTCTCCGTACAAAAATTGGTTAGGCACTTTATATTAAGAGACAAAGGCGTTGCTGATGAAAAATTACACCGCACCTCAGAGCAGTAGTAACAAGAGAGTTGCCGCACGGAGATTTATTGTTTAAAGCTCTTAAATTGCTTTTCGAAACTGGATCTTGGTAGGAATTAACTGAACAAAATAGAGACTTTGTTCGGTAAACGGATAAACTATCTTTCCAGAACACATTTCCGTCTTGTCCTCCCTAAAATAAACAGCACAATCTTTGACCGCAGCACCTATGTAACAGCGATTAGAATTTATAACAGAGTTCCAATGGAAATGAAATGTTTAAATGGTGATAAATTTAAAGCTTGTTTAAAAAAATGGTTAATTGACAAAGTTTTTTACAATCTTGACGAATTTTATATAAAGACATCAAATATTTACTTAATTATAATTTTAATTTTCGACATCTAAGTTGTAATAAATTTTAATTGAATTGTAATTTTAAGACGTTCTACGCCTGATTTGGGTAAGAATTGTAGATCTAATCACTTGTAAGTAACACCTGTATTGTACCAATTCATACAATAAATGTTTCTGATTTCTGATTTCACAGGTAGACTCGAACTAGCGACCTGGCCATACCGGGACTATCGCTCTCCCAAGTGAGCTACGGAACGAGTCAGCAAATTTTACGAATTTCTGTATGTACTTGTTGCAAATTTTTGTTATTGGTTTTAACGAATTTTTTGCCGTGGCATAAAACGAAAACCATAAATGTTCACTTCTTTGTATTTATAATAACAACGACAAGTAAGTAACTAAAGCGTTTGTGTTATGGAAATCGGAAACAACGACAGTACCACAAACACCCAGACCCGAGACAATATACAAATTTTAATTTTTCTACATTGACCTGGCCACAAATCGAACCCGGGACCTCAGAGATGGACACCATAAAAACCGGTGTGCAAGCCACTCAATCACAGAGGTCGCCAAATTTTATATATTTGACCATATTATTTGCCTGTACTCTTCAAAATAAACGATTGAATGTGAGTTAAAAGAGAAAAACGGATTAAATATGAATCTAACTTCCACATTTGTAGACATAAAATTAGAAACATATTAGAAGCCTTGTCAATTAAATGGAGGAAAATCTAGGTTAAACCTTGTGTTTCCTGCTAACCCAGATTTTGTTCAAGAATTATGTAATTAAACAAATAAACATTGGATAACGTTGATAATAAATATTCAGATTAAAAACGAGTTTGCAATATTGTTAACATTAATGAAGTTAATTTAGCTTTAAGATAAAGTAAAAAACAATTATTATTTACTTGCGGCGTTTTTAATATTGACTTTAGGGCATAATTAATTTTATACCCTGTATTATTTAAAAAATTAAAGATGAATAAGACAAATAAAGCCGCTTCCCAAACAGAGGCAGTGGGTTCCAATCCAGTCTCGCACCTCTGCGTTTCTCCTAATTTATATGCGAAATTTTATTTGAAATTTACGATTAGCTTTTCGGTAAAGCAAAAACCTGTATGTCGAAGAAGGTTCACAACCCACTGAAAACGTGAACAACCCGCATTTTGCCAGCAGCAGCATGGCGAACAGCGGACGGCGTTTAATATAAATGAGTTGTAGAATGAGTTTATCTTCTTATTCAACAATTTATGTGCCTTGTAGATTACATTTCATTATTATTTATTTAACTTTGGTATTCGTTTGTTATTGTTACCCTTACGACTTGTTATTCACCCGTCCTCTATATTTTATAGGCATAAACTAATTGATGCTATTTCAGATCAAGGGAATTGCAACATTATTTTATATTATACAGTTATTGTCATTTATGGACACAACACAACACACACACCACAACACTGACTACATTAAAAAAATCTTTAATAATTTGTGATAATCAATTTGTTTGTTAAGGTAGTGTAACCGATATACATATATCGCACTGCTATTACAATAGTGTGTAACTCAAAATACATATGTGAAATTTAATATTGTATCATTACTGAACGTAAAATTTGACACATCAAAAAAACCGTGATTAGAATATTGTAAGAAACAATCAAAAGATATCAAGTTAAATCATAATGAGACTTATGCGAAACTTAAACTTTATGCGAGCTATTTGTGGCCAAAATAATCCTTATTCAAAAACATTAAATTATTTTTTCCATTTTAGTTTTTAAATGTGTTTGAGAAATTGTATATAATAAAGTTATAAATAATAGTTGTAGTAAAGTAATAAATAATAGTCGTAAATATAAAATAACATATAAATTTTAATTATTTTTTTTGCGGGAAATGAGTAATTCGGTTTTCATCGATTCTGAGAAAGTCCTCTTTTTGAATTAATACACTCTTGTCTTAACAATGCGATATGTATAAAATATAATATAAATTTGAAGACTTCGGTAGGCTAGCGGTGTATACTGTGGGCTCTGGATGAGGAGGTCCTGGGTTCGATTCCGGGTAGAACCAATTTGTAAAATGAGCTTTTCTAAATTGGTTCTGATTTTGGCATACTGGGACTTTTTTTAATATCATGTGACAGGACAAACAAGTTGTGCGCTTGATGATAAGCTTCACACCTGACCATAACAGTTGCAGTGCCACACAGTGCGTTAAATCGCAAAGATGTGAGGGGCACTGCTGTCTTCTAGAAACATACTTCAAAGAAGACACCATTTTGTAATATAAATAAATAAAATTGTAAACGAACATCATCATCACAAGAATTGCAATCAGAAAGGCAAACATCATAAGCCTCTATATACACCATTAACACACCAAACTTCATCCGGATATAACTGTACTACTCAAGCAATATATTAGATTTTCACTATTACTCATGTTTACATAATAGATGAATCATAAGGACACGGAAACCTGTTTGACAAGAATATGATTATAGATCTAAATAAATAAAGATATAGATGTAAAGTTTCCGACAATGTTGTAGAGACAACTCGTAGTAAATGGCAATATACATAGTATGTTATTTGCCAAATAAGCATTCTAGGTCGCCTGTTAGCCCGATGACTGTGAGGCTAGACATAGAAAAACGTCGCTTGCGTCAACTTTGAGCAAACTGCGTAACCCTATATCACTAATGAAGGCGACTTACTAAAAACTAACCTCTTTTTGATCTGTGGGCGTGCTGGTCCTGACGCCTGTCAAATCTTTCCACCTGAGAACTCCCATGACTGCGTGACGCACCCACGAGCCTCGTCTCCCAGTCCGAGCACTAGACAGTTCATCTACCACGCCACATAAAACAGAGTTCACAACCAATTTCCCTCCATCTTTTTCACTTTTCAGCGCCACCTCGCTGCTTATCGGCAAGGACCTTCTCTCCCTCATAAAGCCCAAAAATGTATTTCCCTCAAAACCCAATGATTTCAGCGTTTTCCAAAACGCATCCTCATAGCACACGCGCTATTAATCATCCTCCGATCGGATTTCAAAGACCTCAGATAAATCTCTCGTTAAATCGTTATTTTTATAACACTTTTCGGGTCAGCAGCTGCAATCTTTCCCACAGGCGTCCTAAACTTTTCCAATTATTTTTATTGGTCCAAAAGAAATTCCCAAACGGAGATTTGTCGGATATTCTAAACGTCTTGTAAGGTTCAATAGCGGCTGAATATAAAAACAAAAGTTTTAAAAACTTTCACTTGGCACTGCGTTGTCAATGTAGGTTAGACTACTTAGATGTTTAGTTTTATCACGAAATCGTCACACGTGAAGCGTAAAGCTTGTTAAACTAATGCATAAAAATGCAATTGAAACTTTCTTTTGCCATAAGTCACAATAACCAACACAAGCCGCTCAACATCAACTAGTTGAAGCAGTTTTAGCACAAATAGCACGAACCGCCAAACTCTGCACAACTATCGGAACACGATCGAAGCGCGAACAATCAAAACTCTAGAATCACACAACGTCCGTACCGGCTTGCGTTCTGAAACCGAATGGAGTGGCGCGTGCCACATGCTGCTGACGGCGAACCTCAACGAGGCTATCTCTTTCATACGTCATTATATTAATACGAGATAGATAAGGATGAATATCAGCATGATATTTCTATTACAGAAGCATCGAAGACGGGACAGGTGAATGTAACAGCCGGAGACGACAATAAAAAGTTTCAAACGTTTCTAGTGCGACTAATGAGATTCCTTATTGAGACAATGAGAAAAATAATCGTTTTTAGGGAACACAATCACATAGCATTACAAGTTATGAGTAGTTCACAAACAATTAACCATTTATAGAAACAGTGTAAGAATTGGTTTACTTAGATTTTTTTTTATCTAACATGAATATGTATGTACAATAAAAATAGTTACAACATACGCCATAATATTATTATTGTAATAATATAATATTTAAGGCAGATAATGAAATAGAGATAAAACAACATAGTTAATAACAAAATTTGTAGTTATAAATGGAAATAATATAAATATTATGACCTATAATATTAAATCGACAAATAGTTAATAAAAATGTTTAAATAAGAATGTCACACGACCATAAATATCCAAATAATAAGAACACCAATTATAGCGTCCGTTAAGCATCACGACTAAAATGCGACAAAAAGGAGAAATCAAATGCCAATTAAAAGACGCAAATTCAAAGTGTGCATCACTTTGGTGTATTCGCGTGGGAATATCCGGAGGCACCGAAGCACATCGAGGGCTAAGGGAACAAAGACTCAACAGGTATCATCAAGGGCCCAGGCAGCTGTATCCGAAGCCAAAGGCAACTTTGAAAGGAAGGATGTGGTAGACAATGAGCATATGCACTTTTAGGAGGTTTCTTTGTATCTTGGGTTACTAAAACTAATTTTAAAATAAAGATTAGTGAAGATATGTTGAAAAGCAGATCTAGGACAAAGTCTATGAGTCATTGAGTACGAAAAGATTTAGATAAGAAGAAAATTATCTAATAATTTTTATTATTACATTAATACTAATAATTCAAACAAGTACAAAATAAACTTAGATAGACAGATAAAACGTTTATTGTCTTGCATCACACACACAACAATAGAATAGAGTAAATTGATTAAAAGAGACACACAGAAATAAAAAAAAACCTTAAAAACTTAATATTAACCTAATCATCAATTGCTTGGCGGTGCTAAAGCAAGCCAAATAGGTCGTGGCTCAGTGCAAAATTTGCCCAACAGCAAAGCACTGATTTTCAGCCACCACCTTCGAGGGTGCTTAAAAAAGGTGTGAAAGTTTGTTCTATCATATCTAATTAAATTGTTTTCTAATAACATGTATTTGTACTTAACTGGCTAAATAAAAAATTGTTACTACATTTTTAACTTACGTTTTAGTGAATGTTTACTTAATTTTTTATCTGAAACAAACTATGACTTCTAACCTTAGGAACCAAATATCGTGTAAATCTTTTTTCATAACAGATATTTGCTTTTACCCTGCACTATTTCTATTCCTAAACCTAACTTTGCAATTATCACTATAGTAATTTTTTATCACTACTATATACTTACTCTTATTTCTGTAACTAAACTTATGGTCTCAACTTAGTAGCCATGTAGTAAAAAACGGATACCAAAAAGAAGCACACACTGTTCTTCAAAGACTTACTGTCGGGAAATGTATTTAAAGCCATTCATTTAAAAAGGTTCACATCGAATAACAACATAATAAACACGCAGAGAGATAATTCAAATCGATTCGTATAAATTGCATTTCCGTGTCACATTAGAGCTGTTTAAAACATTTGGTTAGCCACGGGACGTCCGCGAATCCATTCAAAAACGTTATATTACGTCATTCGCGCTGACACGTCTCAAGTTACAAAGAGTCGCTGTCGGCACATGAAACACAGTTTAAGGGTCGAAAAGCGATCTTATTATTTTCAATGTCCGATATATTTCTATTGCAAAATTTGTTGAAACAATGGTAGTTAAATGGATATCCTACTGAGTTTCGGAACGCACAAAAAATAAAAAATAAAATGTTTTATTTTAAAACACAGCAAACGTGAGTCATAAAATGGCGCTTCAATGTCGAAATCATTCTGCATAAAATTAGACAACACAAGTTAGAAAACATGACTTGAGACTTATCACCAATGAAACCAGAGGTCATATTTATTGAATATATGTCACTGTTAGAGAAAAAACGTGTAAATACAAATTTGCTATAGAGCTCCTTTAAAAAGAGTTCGTCCGGGAAAGTATAGTATATTCCTATTTCTGTATAAACAGTAATGGGTTTTGAAAGGCATATGGAACTTTTCAACTTGTCTCAAGGTGACGGGCGCAGTGGCAGTGCATTCCTTATTTTTTTTAAATACTATAATGTTGCAAATAGGGAATATAAACTGCTCATTACACAGTATTTTATATTAGTAACCATACTGTCGCATGGTTTTAAAAAATCACTCGGAGTAATGCTACAGGGTCAAGAGTACGTCAAGCTTGACACATAAGATTTAAATCCAACTCTATGCCACTTACGATAAGAACGGGCCAAAGTTCAAAGTGTCAAGCTTAAGGAAAAGGGTTGTCTATTACACTTAATTCTAAGTAATAGTTATAACTTTAAAAAAAACACCGACCTCAAAAGTTTGTGGAATTATATCTATTTTACAACTTTTATTGTAATCGAAATTCAATAAACCGGATTCCTCTCATAACTTGCCACCCTAAGAGGTGGAATATTTTCTTCTAATTTGAATGGGACTATTACTGAGGTGAGGTATCCCGTTTCTAACAAAAAAAGTTTATCGTAATCGGTTCACAAATTTCGGAGTAATCGCGTGACATACATACAAAAAAAGAAACAATTTATTTTTATATATAATAGACACACGCTTGGCTACAATCTTATCTGATGTTAAGCGACGATGTGACCGACGATGGGACGCATTTGTCTAAAAATGCCTAATCACAAGCCTTGAATAGCACATAAGGATGGAGTGCTCCGGACCTTCTACTCGACCGAAGGAGGAACGTTGAGGATGGAACTAAATTGAAAAGTTCCTGCGCACACTCCCCGAAATGTATCCGATAGAAAACCGACAAGCAGGCAACTTTTCTGCGATGGTTGAGATTTTGTAGCTTCAACTCCACAAGAGAATTGTTGTTAATAAGTCTCTTTGCTTTTCGCTCCACCGACTCCAACAATATACGGAACCTCCTCCTTTTTTTATGTCGGTTAAAAATACAGTTTTAAACTTTAGTCTGTAAAATAGCTGGCGATCGGCTCCCTAAATGCTTAAACCTAAATGGGTAAACTCCCGGCCGGCCGGATAATAAAATCTATTTATTATTTTAACCCACGCATCAGTATCACATCCGAAGATAAGATCCATCACAGTCTATCCAATAATATTTAATCAAGGGTTGTAATTAGAATTCAAAAACATTAAATACATAATAGCGAAACCAATTATAATGATCATTACAGGAGACTCAATGAATTACTAAACAATGTAATTTAATAGCTATGCAAACAGAGCAGGCTCCAATGGGTAAATAATTACAGATCACAGTTAAACTGTCCTTAGTAAAGACCAAATTAGTGTTGTTGACTTTGGTGGAGCGTAATTATAAGTGAAGTTTAAAAAAAAATGTATTTTGGCAACATAATTGTTGCGAAAACATCGAAATTGTAATGAAATAAAAAAATAATAATTTATATAAATTTAAAATGATTTTTCTGATCAAAATTTTAAACCCACTTCAAAAAAAGGAGGAGGTTCTCAATTCGACTGTGTTTTTTTTTTGTATGTATGTTAAGCGATAACTCCGGTATTTGTGAACCGATTTTCATAACTCTTTTTTTTTGTTGGAAAGAGGGTACCTCCATAGTGGTCTTATTTAATTTTGAAGAAAATCGTCCACCTCTAAGGGTGGCTGTTCACGCATGAAGATTCATTTTTATAAATAGCGCCTAAATTTTATAATACGGAGCTATTATTTTAATGGTTGATTTTGCTATTCTCCAGTTTAAGGCGTTTATCTCTCAATAGGCTTTGAGTAATGAGAACCGATTTTTATTAACGTGAACTAGAGGATGAATCCGGGTTTGCTCACTTTCTGATAACCGATTTCAATAAAACTTGACAATTAAATGTCAAGTCAAAAGTACTCTGTATTGAGATTATGTATATTATTAACAGGTATAAAGAAAGTATGCATAAACACAACGCCTAAATTACAGTTTTATTTTATTTACCAAGTGACGGGACGAACAAGCACGACATGTTCATCGCCTGGCGGTGAACAACATGCCTGGCCATAGCAGGCGCAGTGCAACTCGGCTTAGCCCGCGAAGACGTAAGTATCTCATATGAGTGTAATTCCACCAGTACCCCAGTCCTTCAAAACCGGAACACAATAATGTGAGCATTACTGCTTGGTGGCAGATAAAGAAGTGGCAGTACTTCCCTGGACGAACTCTCTCACACTCAACTCTTTCTCAAGAAGCTCTAATGCTACTAAAAAAGGCAGTCATTTTCTAAGCTTAGGCCATATTTCAAATACATTATTAAAATTCTAAAATTTAATATTGCTTTATATTGATTGTATAATAATTGAGGTTCCTTTTTTATTGTTTCTTTCAATATTATCATAGTTTCCTTTATATTTGTTTTACTTGTATTTAGAATAAGCATAATTAAATAAATTTATACACGCGCGCATGTTCTTGGTACATTTGACCGGGATCTTTTTGAGAACATTTTCATTATAGTGGTGTAACTTTCCACTAACGTTTACTAATTCTTTACTCTATTGCTATAAATTCGTTACTCTATATTGAAAGAAGTAAATTGGTAAAAATAAAATAAAATCGAAGCCATTCAGAGACAAATGTTTCGAATGCAATAAGGAAACAATTTATTTATTTTTATTTGCTTATATTTACAAAAAAAAAAACATTTAAATTAGGTTAGAAAC